GTTTTAATAAAATCGAATCTTTTAGTTTTATTTATTAATTGATTGATATGTGAACAAATGTGAATACTTAGAAAGTGTTTTTATTATATAAGAAAACTTTGTTTTTGGATTTGCTTTTCAAGACCATCTAACCCAAGTTCAACCAAACCTTGCCCCTATTGAAGACAAATAATGGATATCTTTCTTTTTTTCATTTTTTTCGACAGCAAAGAAATATTATTTTTTTAATAATATATGTATTTCATTGAATATAGTGCCTACCTGACCAAGCAATTTGTTATTTGTATATGACCACCCTTTCCAACGTTCAATAATCTTAATTTTCCCTGTACAAAACGGAACAAATAATGAAAACACATGAACTATACATTTCAAACGCATACCAGCCATAAACAAAAAGGTTAAATAATTTAGTGGTACCCACAAAGAACATGACAAACGAAACAATAGGAAAAATATTAAAAAAAGACCACGACTAAAACATGTTCAGAGTCAATGGATAGACTATTAAGAAAATAAATACAGGAAAAAGCTGTAGTACTACAGCTAGCCACATGCTTTGGTGTAACATTCTATGAATAACATATGACTAGCTAAGGGAGGTCAATGGACGATCTACATATATGTTGATTAATGGGAGCGCAGAAATTCACGAATAGCAAGAGAAATTCAGCCTTCTTCAAATTTTGTTGGCTTCGCCATCTGTTATCCAAGAGGAGCTACTCTCCAGGGATTTAGTGTTTTTGTTCATAGACATTTGAGTAGTACACTACAACAACAAGAGGTACTTCATTTAACATCTTGTTCTTATCTTCTACTGGATCTGATAAATTGCTCCTTGCTACTTTTGCATTTCTCAGATCTTCAATTCTTCTTAAATTGAATTTCTGGTCCAAAAGAAAAAAAAAAGAAATTGGTAGATTACAATTCGGGAAGTAAGGGTATTTGGGATGGGTTGTGCACTGTTTTTGGGATTGCAGGTTCCTGGGTTTTGTTTTATTCACTCTCTGTGATATGGTGTCTGTTTTGTACTGCTGTTTCGGGTTTGCAGCCTGATGTTTTAAGGCTACAGACTTCAGCCAGCATTTTTGTTTTCACTTCATTCTATATATTAATACAAGTGACTATGCTTTTCAAAAGAAAAAAGATTACAATGCAACTTTCTTAGAACTTTATTGAGAGTGATTTCAACTCATCTCTGACAGAATTCATATTGAACTAAGTCAAGCATTAACATTATGTCACTATGGTTTCATGTAATTGATATTTTGTTATTTAGATTGTGTTTTTTTTTTTTGAGTATATATTGGAAAGGTAGTGGAAACTTTGTTTTGGTGAGGAAGGAAATTATAATTACTCGTCTATGGAAATACAAATGGTGTGTTTTTTAGTGACTGAATTAGTGACAGATAATTATTTGTGGACCATGGTATTAACTGAATCAATGACCATTTCAACTAATGTTAACCTTGAGTATGCATTGCACAATTTTTTGTTATATCATATGGAATACTTGAAGTAGCCTTGCTGAAGGTAATCTTTTTGTTTAATTTTTATCACAAAGGAAAAGTAGAGATGCACATAAAGAATTTTTTTTAAAAAATATATATAAAAAGCTCAACAAGTGGAATGCTAAAGGCTACACTTTCTCTACTATCAGAAATAATACAAACCATCAAATTATATCACGTTTACAGATATTTGGTATTAATTAATAAGACTAAAATATGTTTAATATATTGTTTGGTTCCAATGGTTAAGATTATCACTAATTATTTTCAATTGACTTGCAGTTGATTAATAAATAATTTAACTTGTTTTTTCTTTTCCCAAAATACAACTACTTTCTTCTCACTTCTCAGCTAACTAGGAATTTGTTTCCTGAATTTAGATAGAATTTATCCTACGTATGATTTTTTAACGCTAAGTTTGTCTTGATGTTAAGGTGGGAAATTAAAAAACCTGACAGATGGAAAATGTTCCAAGAAACAATGAGGCTGATATAGAAAATAATTCCTCAGAAAAAGAACTGCTCAAGTTTGCAGAAAGGATTGAATCCACAATAAACGAAGAGAAGAACAATTCCCAGCGTCCCTTGATACAAGATCGTATTATCTTCTGTTCTGACCCTTCACTTCGTGAAGTAAATAAAGAAGCCTACAGACCGAATTTGGTCATTATTGGCCGTCTTTGCTATATCGAACATTTTTTAATGGACGTCGAACGGCAAAAGTCGATATATTTGGACTCTTTTCTACAGAGAGCTGAGAAGAAAGCTAGCTTGAAGGATTTTTGCAAATTGATCAAAGACTCGGCAGGCCGAATCCATTGTTGTTATGAAATAACCCATTACCGAAAGTATGATGGGTTCAGAAGACATATGGAACAGAATAAACTACCCACTACCAAATTAACTCTTTCTTTGAAGCCACCCATCGATACGTATTTAGTGGATGCAAGCTTCATCATTGAACTCTTCTTGAGAGCCTATAACAAGGAATGGAG